CCCGCCCGCGGGCTCCGAGCGCCGCTGCCCTCCCTACCCGCGCCCTCCGCGCTGCCCCCGCCGCAAGGGTTGGCCTTGGGGCGCTGCTGCTGCACCATCGTCCCCTCCTCGGTCGCCTTTTAATCCCACGTGCCTCGTGTCATGAGAAAGCGGCTTCGTACCCAGCGCTGCGGTGCTCCGGCTGTGTTACTCAGTGCCGTGTAGCCCCCGCCGTGCCTGCTTGACACCTACCGCGCCAGGAGTAATCTCTCGGCGTTTCTTGTTGCGGAGAATCAAGTGCTTTATTTGCAGTAGTAAACTCAGTCTCTGTTAAAACACTGACTTTGCGGAGTTGGTGTTTATGCAGATTCTGGCTTTTATGGAAACACCTGTCAGGAAAAGGGTCGATACAGTTGAGCAGCTGCCAAAAAAAATAGGTGCCTGTCACTAGCAATCTGCACAGCTGAGGCAGTGTGTGCCCCGCTCTCTCAAACGTGCTCCTTCAAGCAATTATCCTGCAGAATTTATCCCCGATGAGGGCTGCCGTTGGGCTCAGGACAGTACTTTATAGTATGTGAGTCACTCTTCTGCTGTGAGAATAGTCTGTGTGTGACAACTGTGGAGTGTTTCTGCCTAGTATCGAATTCTTATAACAGTTTGTATAATTGAATAACTAAGTATTAAATTGAATAACTAGTATTACAGTTTTATTTAAGAAGCATGAGATTTCTCTTGTTGCTACCTTTGGCAGATGTCTTACAGGATTTCTCTGTGCTGAGTGCTGTTTCGTTCGCTATGTGAAGATACAAGCCATCTAAAAGCCTTTTCCACTTCACTGCTTTATAACCCAGCCTCTGTAACAATCATGGTACATGGGAAAAGAATCAGGAAACAGTGGTGAATTGCTTCACTTGGCTATGACTTTTATTTATCGTTCCTCTTGAAGAAAGAGTTTTATGAGCTTTTATTTGAAGACAGACTAAAATTGGTGCTCTCAGCTTGAAGGTACATTGTTTTTCTAATTGTTCTGCTTTCTTGTGTGTGTGTGTGTCTTATCACTCTTCAGGCCATATATATACTTAATCTTATAAGTCTTTCTTTATTTTCCTTTTATTCATATATTTTTGTAGCATCCATTTTCACTTCTTCATTTGAGCAAAACATTTTAGGTGTTTCTAAAGCAGTCATTCCTGTCTCTTTACCCTAAGCTGGTGATTCTTCAATGGGGAATCCAGGCCATGAAGTCAGCAGTGGCTAACAGCTAACTAGTGACAATTACTTAGCAACCCAGCTCATGCTGATTATCAAGTTAGTAGCAGGGTTTTCTTTAAAAACATATCCTTTAAAATTGGATAGATTATGCTATTTGATGACTGGAGAAGTAATACAGGGTGATGTATATAGCTCTAAAATGCTGCTTCATGCCTAGATTAATTTCTCAGTAACAGCTGAATTCTATTCGTTTTGAAACTTGGTTGTTGTGGACAAAATTGACTCAACATGGGGAATTTAGTTTTTATTAACTATTTTATTAATTTTTAATTTCCAGTTGGCTAGTGATATACAGAGAAGACCACTACTTAAGCACAGACTTGGGGAAAACTCCTTTCTTCCCTTTTTCTCTTTGATCCCTCAGGTTATGCTCTGTCCCTTGGACAAGGCAGTGGTAGTGCAGGAGGTTGGGGTTGGTACATGGGGCTTTCTTTCTACTGCTCTTTTCTTCTGCACCCATGTGGGGCCCCTCAAGGGTGTCCCTGTCCCAGGATGGGCACCTCCACAGGCCATGGTCCCTTCAGGGGTATCCCTGCTCCAGTGTGGAGAGGCTCCTTCCAAGAGCGCATCTCCAGCTGTGCCCGCAGCAACTGTCCTCTTCTCCATGCTTCCCTGTGCCTCTTTGAGCACTCTGTCATGTGTCTCCTCCTGCACTTTCTTTTGCATTTGCTGCCACTGATTGCTTCTCTGTTTCTCAAATAAACTGGAGTGGAAGCACTGTGTGTTCATCTGATGAGTTGGAGGATGGCAGGCAGCAGGTTTATGGAGCCAGCTGGAACTGCCCCACACAGATCAGTTTATGGCCTCTTCCCATCCAGACCCTGCTACCAAAACCTGCACTTTATCCCCAGTACACTTCTGTGCCAGTTGGGTGATGCTGGAAGAAAGGTCCTATCCATGCCTAATTATAGGAACTCCAGTTTCCTTTTATACACTTAGAAATAAAACCAAAGTACTCTCCTGTAGCTTGCTAAATAGCAATAATGTGTTGGGTCACTAGGATGGTAATACTTTTGCAATTGTGTTTATTGACATGCCCATCTGAGCAGTTGTGTTTGCTCCTATGCAGCTGATAACACCTGGGCCAGGGGCAGCTGCTTTCTCTAAGGATTGCATTCATATATGTTTTCATATTTTTTTTCATGAAACTTTCTCAAAGAGTTAGTTTTCCTCTTCTTTTCAGATCTGAAGGCAGTGGTTTTGCTGACACAAAGGTGGCAGCTCTGAGCCCTATTCCACCAGTGTGAGTAGTCATGTTCTCCTCAGAGATTGTTAAATTTCCTTGTTGTTTTGCTTGTCTCACTAATTCAATGATTTTGGTATCTCATCCATCTTACCTTTTGGGCTGAATTGCTGCCACCTTGAGTTCTGTGTGGCATTCTGTGTGTTGGAAGAACATAGAAAAGGAAGACATGAGGTTTCAAGTTTGGGGGAACTCAGCTATTCTCTTTGTCTCAGTCTTTGCAAGATAGAATCTTGATAGAAAAGGGAATAATTAAGGGTAGCCATGTTTGAGAGAAGGCTGGGAAACAGTCAGTTTCTTGGGAACCAGACTGCTGTTGACAGCAGAGCTGGTGTGTGCACAGGGCTGGAGGCAGCCATGGTAAGTAAAGATGGTGGTAAGTGGTCAGTGTAGTACTGAATCTTGCTCTGCTGTGTTCCAGCATGCATGCTGCCCTCATATCTTCCTTCTTGCCCCCCAAGTACATATTGTTTCTAGGTGTTTACTTGATGTTTAACTTAAATGCAGAAAGTTTATGGTTTTCCTGAAAAATTGCAGGGGGCAGAGCCCTTGGAGTGAAGTGACAATGTATTGGTATTGCTCTTAGCAGACAGAAAATAAGTCTTTCTTCTTCTTTCCCAGGGCTTTCTATCTTACCCTGTGCCTTAAACATGGAAGCTGTAGAAATGAATAGTGTGTCCTTGAAACGTCCTCACTCTGAGGATGATGTGGCCAGTGCAGACGAAATTAAAAGACAGAAGATCTTGGAGAAGTCTAAGGCAGGGAGTGACTCTGGGCAGAGTATTGAGACTGTAACAGAACAACTCAAAGACATAAAAAGTGAAATGATCCCCAATGATGAAAGTGAGGAGCAGGAAGAAGAGGACCTAGGGGACAGTGATGAAGATGGAGATCCAGAGAGCTTTGCAGACATGATGAAGCATGGACTGACAGAAAGTGATGTTGGCATAACTAAATTTGTTAGCTCTCATAAGGGGTTTTCTGGAATCTTAAAAGAGAGGTAACTCTTTGTCTTGTTTATGTTAATTCCTTGTGTAACACAGCTGTAGTTCTCCAGTTTCCTTCTTGGACTCACAGGTTGCAGTTGGATTACATGAGGTTCATTACTTTTTTTACTGCTGAGACTGAAAGAATGTTTAATTTGGGACTTTTCTAGATTGTGGCTTGTTTGGTGGGGGTTTTTTGTTTTGTTTTGGGTTTTTTCTGAGGTTTTTTGTGGGAGGGATGTTTGGGTTATAACATGCCAGTCGTGGGTGGGGAGACTAAAGTGCCACAACTTGTGATCCAGGTCCTCATGAGACAAACAGCCTCATTTATTATTCAGAACTCACTTAAATATCCAATTCAAATCTCCTAGGCTGTACAGCCACTGGCTGAGATCTGTCTCCCTGCCCAGCATCCTGGCCAGTGGTGTACTTACTGCTCATCCTGGATAGGGCTGCCCGTGGGTCCCCTGTAACTTATCTGGGGACATGTTCAGGCATGAAGTAGGCTAGCTGAATTGGATTTGTGTTATGGATTGGATTTACTTTGTCCAGTCCATGCCAACTGTACTGGGACAATACTGTGACAGGGTTTTTTTGGTGGTGTTTTAGTTTTGTTTTTTGTTTTTAATATTTATTTTTCTGTCAGCTCTGGTGGAGCTCTGATGGAGGCTGTATATGAGTAGAGATACATGATTACATTGACCTTTGCTGTTTCCTTTGCTCTCTGGCAGCAGCACACATAAAACCTTACACAGTACACCCACCTTTTGTACCTTTTCTCAGTGCTGATACAAGATGCACTGAAAAATGACATCAAAATCATCCTTCTTTCGTTCTTTACTGTTCTCTGACTTTTTTGTCCTAATGTCTGTAAATAAGAATAGTTAGGCTTTAAATTATTGTTTGCTCAGTTGTAATGTCATTTACATTGAAGGGAGTTTTAAAATTCAGGATGTGGAATTTATTATATACAAACATTATATATTTAATAGGATGTTTGGGGTTTAGTAGCTTTTTGGAATGAAACTCCTAGGTTTTTAAAATTAAAGAATAGCTTTGAATAAAACAGAATGCAAATACAAAACAGAATGCAAATACAAAATGGAATGCAAATGCAAAAGCTCACTGAAGTGAGAATCACTGTTTCCCTGACATAGCAAAACAGTTAAGGTTGCTTTGTTTACACACTGAAAAGTCCCTGTGTTTAAATACTGGCCTCATATATAGATAATTTTGCATAATAAAATGATATATGCATATTACGTATGTATTTAATCTTTATGTGCAGCATTAAGTATCTAGTGTAATCCTTCTCTGGGAAACATAATCTGTGCTAAACAGTCTTCTGGGAAATCTGCCAATTTGGTTGGCCAATTTTCTACCATGTGGTAGAAAATTCATGGGTTTCTGGGTTTTTTTTGGATGTGCTTGGGGGAGGTACAGTAGAAAAGCTTCTGGTGAAGTTTTACTCATCTTTCAACACTGATAGAACAGGAATTATTTTCTCTTTTTTTTCCCCCACTTTGCTAGCAAATGCTACTTAAAAATCATTTAGTAGTTGTAACACAAGCCACCAACTGTGCTCTGTTATAGTTGAGCTGTTTTTATTATTAGACATGAGTGAGTTAGTCCTGCCTTCTGTAGAGCAGCTGAAATGCACTTTATTTTGCAGGTTTTTTTAAGTGACAGATAATGCAGTAGTTAATGCATTGCACATTGTGGCAATGCAGTAGAGTCTTAATTGTCAGTAATGACTGGGATTGAGGAATAAGCATTACTGGTCTCTTGAAGCTAGTGAGAAAATGACTCAGAATAACTACAGCAGGTGTTCGGTGATCTGCAAAGAAGTCTGCTGTATTTGGATATGTGTTCCTGTGCTGTCCTTCTTGGGGGTAGGAATAGAAAGGTACAACTTTCTCATGGTAAAGTTTGTTTTATGTGAATTGAATTACATGAATTCAGAATTCTTTAATGAATTCTGCTAACAAACAGCTTTTTTAGGAAAGGACTTTTTGTGATGTGGGATTTTTTATTACAAATGTAATGCATGTTTCTTTCTATCAGATACTCAGACTTTGTTGTCCATGAAATAGGCAAAGATGGACGTGTGAGCCATTTAGATGACTTTTCTGTTCCAGTGGATGATGAGGTAAATTTTGAGGTAAAGATTTGGTAATGGCTATGCTTCTTAATGCTCCTTAAGCAAGGACATAATAATACTGGAAGAGGGTTATTGGATGTCTGTTTTTTCTCCCCAAATATATATTAGGACCCATCAGAAGAAACATTTACAGTTCTGTCAGACGAAGACAAGCAGCGTTTAGAAGAGCTCCAGCTTTTTAAGAATAAGGAAGCTAGTGTTGCCATAGAGGTAAAATTAATAAATGGTTTTTGGGATGAGTTTTTGATTCAACAATGAATTTTGGGATGAGGGCAGAGAGAGGCTGAGGGAGGGAGGCAGGGAGGGAATGAGAAGGCACACACTTTATAAAGCACATAAAGTATAAGTGCAATTTGAACGTGATGTGACAGATAACACTAAACTGCGTCCAGTTTAGGGTTTAAGTCTGTAAAGTCTTACAGATGTACTTGAATTCATGCATCTGTGAGTTGTCACTTTGATTTTGGTGAGAATACAGGAACTTAAATACAGGTTTTAATTCCTGTGGTGTTAAGATTATATTGCAGTATTTTGCTTTCCTGTTTAGTATTGTTTTAAAGAATAAGGAGGTTTGCATAAAACATCTATCCTGATGGAACACTACTTTCAAGGTCAGTGTTTAATGATTTAATAGAAAAGAAGATAAATGTAGTCTTCTGTAACAGACTGTAAGAAAGATAAGAAAATGAAATAAAAACCTTGATATTTTTAAACATTCAAATATTCCACATATTCAAAGAATAACTATTGAGCTAAATTTGGGGCACAGAGATGAGTAGGATTATATCTGGTAGTTTCAAATAAGCATTCATACATTAAATAATCTTATCTAGCTATTTTTTTTTATTTTTTTTTTCCTTTAAGACACCCTTCCCCTTTGTCTTAATTTATTTGGTTTCTGCATGTATGTGTATTATTACAGGTAATTGAAGACACCAAAGAAAAAAGAACCATCATCCATCAGGCTGTGAAGTCCTTGTTTCCAGGACTGGAGACTAAAACAGAAGATCGAGATGGAAAGAAATACATTATTGCTTATCATGCTGCTGGGAAAAAAGCATTGGCAAGTGAGTTTCAGTATCACAGCAGATGGGTAAAGTAAATGCTAAAATTATCCCCAAAGTAAGAGTTGTTAGTATGAACTTCAAGTGAGCGTGCTTCCTAATGTAGTCTTGCTTCATTTTTTCCTCATTTCAGCTTATGCTGTGCATCTAAAATTATTAAGACCACAAGAAATGTTTTAAATTGAAATTTCTACTTGCTTTTCTTTACAAATCATCCAGTAAAACCATATTAGAAGAGAAAACATTATCTTCTACTTCAGTGGGAATACGCAAAACAGAGACTTTATTTTCAGTATTTTTTGAATTTAACTTTCATGATCTTAACTGTGTGTGTAGGTGTGTGTTGTGGATGTAAGAGGTTGTAGTTGGAAAATATACATTAGGTTGATAGATAGTGTAATCTTGATTGTCTTGAATATTCATGACAAAATTCTCAATGGCTTAAATAGAGACAAGCATCTTTTTGTTTTCTCAGAGTTATAGTTTCATATAAACATAGTTTATTTACCATGATTGTTAATTCTGCTTGCAAGGCTAATTATATTTACAGAAAATTATCTTTATTCATTAAAGATCACACTTAATCTTTTGAAATAGTCAAAGTAATGAAGGACTTTCAAAATGAAGTGTTATCCACTTTAATCTTGCAAAATGCTATTTTGGATACTGGGAATAAATTAAAGTGTTTTACATCTCTTAAAGTTACTAAAAGTTTGTTGCTACTGTAAGTTTAGAGGATTATCTATATGCAGAATGGTGCACATTTAACTAAAGATACCAAGGTTTGGTTTAAATTGGTTGCATTCCTCTGTCAGTTCAACGTACTACAAATGATGGTATGTAAACCTAACCCTTTAATTTTAAAGACAAAGTTGATGGAGGAAGGATAAGGAAATAGAGTAATTTAAAATGGGAAATAAAATAATTTCCCCTTTAATTTAATTGTTTGTTTAAGGCCTGTTGTAAGCAAATATGGGAATGTTGTATTTTTATTGTCCAATTATTATGTGTTTATGTGTCTTACTTGGTCATGTTTAGAAAATGCATATGTTTGCATGCTTTATGCATGGAGTCTGTATGCTTACCAGCACAAAATTCTCCTCAGCCAGTTTTGTTCTCTGTTGGTTTGTAACGGATTTTCCTCCACCTTTTCCTTCTGCTGCTTCTATTCTTTAATCACTGTTACAGTCAAGTGAATGTTGTTAAGCTGATTTAAGGGATACTATATAAAAGAATATAAGTATTTGAAACATGCTGAAAAGAATTTAGTGATGTGTCTCTAGGATTAAAACATTATGTGGAGCACCATCTTGTGATGTAGAAAGGTATCATCTATTTAAACTTGGATTCCCCAGCTGTGATGCTGCAGGCATCTGTGCATTTGTTGGTGGAGATGGGTCAGTTTCTGTGTGTGTGCGCAAATGCTTATGGATGTAAGATTGAAGTTCTTCCCAGTCAGGATTATATTTATCTCTCTTGTTTATATAGCCACAAACATGTCTTAGTCATGAATGGGCTCCCCAGGCAAGAAACATTTCAGAAGTGTAGAATATTGGATTATTAGCTGAGATACCTGATTAGTTTTGTTGATAACATAAAACATTACCAAACATGCTTCTTAAAATTTAAAATCAGAAGCTTTGTGTCTATAGTCAATTTACCCTCCACATATTTACACTACTGTCTTACTAAATTGTCAGTAAACTGTTGTTTCATCACTGTCCACAAATTAAGTTTGTTGCATCTCCTATTGAAGCTTTCCATGTGTTCACTGTTTGCCTCTGCACGATTCCATTCCATAATTGTCTAAATTGCTGTCATCCACCACCTGGCTGTTGGATGCTCCCTGAAGCATAAACAATCCCATGACCATAAACCTGCATGTTCAACTCTAAAAACCCTTCAACAATCTAAAAATTAAATGCTACTCTTTTGTACTCTTTATGCTCTGCATTGGGACAGAGGTCAGAACTGCAACAGGTAAGAGACGTTGACATTTCATACTAACAAAAATGAAATGCCAACCATTATGACCTCCTAAATAGCAACAGAACTGGCCAAACTTGTATCAATTTCTTACAAATCCCTACACATAAGTATTACTTGAAATGCCCTGAAACAGCCAAGAATTAGGTTTGTTCTACCTCTTTTTCATAGTGCAGTATAGGCAGTATTCATTTGGTGCAGAGAAAGTCTTATATTAATAAGTGATATGAATTATCAATTTTGACAGTACATATTGACAACTATGGTAAATTTTTCATGGATTTCAGTTAGTCAAACCTTTGCCTTTGCCTGTATTTCAGACATTACTATCAGTCTTTATACAGCTTCAAAAGCATTTCTCACACACCCTGCTGTTAAAAAAGAGCTTCCAAGCCTATGTTTCAGCAAAATGTTTGGAAAAAGGGCTCGGAAATACAATTTTATTGTCAAAAATGTAATATGATTCTGAAACACAGCAATAGGGATTGCAAATTGTCCCACTACTCTGTCTACTCAGTTGAATGCTTTGAAGTATTGGGTGAGGAATGATTGAGTATCAGGACTGTGGCTGCAGCTTTCTTTGGGTAGGGTCATGGCTGTGATGCCCAAAGCATGAGGAGCCCATTTTTCTGATAGTACCTAGAGAATCCTTTTAGTACAGATTACATTAGCGCACACTTCTTGAACTGTGTTGAAATGAGCATGTGCAAGATGTATTAGTTAAATATGAAGAATGGAGAAAGTTCTCCTTTGTGAATTGAGCTCTGTCTTACTCTCTTCCCTTCTACTTGCTGAGATCTTCATGGAGAACCTTGCTCTTCCAGCTGAATGCAGTGTTTCAGTGACTTAGTTTAAGAGTAGTGATGGCTCAGAAGGAGAGACCAGCAGGAGCTTGAGGTCTCCAGTTCAGGTCCTGTGAAACTGTGGGAGAGGGACTGTGCTTAGAAACTGATGGTGCAAGACAATAATTCTAAGTGACTAAAACTTCTTCATATAGCGTTTTATACTGTAGCATTCAAAATTATCTTTGCAGAAGTGTGTGCATGAATGGCAGCTTCTCAAAAGCAAGCAAGAACTAAACAAACATATCTTTGTGGGATATCTGGACTTTATAAAACCAATGTGAAAGAAAAAGCAGTATTTCCCAGGAACTTCCTTCCTGCATTGGTGATTATATATTGAAATAAGGCTGGCTTTTTCAGTTAGCTGTTGCTGATAGGAAAGATGTTTATGCCTTTTTTTACAAAACCAGGTATGTCTGCTTAGTGGTTAGCAAGAGGTAAGGGACCTCTTATTTAAAGGAAAACAAATTCTTAGTTTTGATCTTAAATAACAAGGAATTGATAAACCTCATAATTGAAGGAACCTCACAATTGATGGCTAAACCTCTGTAGAATTAGTCTCCCTTCCCATTAATGCCATGGACAGTGGATTATTGGAAACTGAAAGTTTTATCTCAGAGCGGGATTTTATGTGCAAAAAAAGTTTAAGGAATCATTGACAGTTTCCTTCTCTGGAAAATGTCAAATAGTAGCACAGAATTGTAAATCAGTTGTTAGTCTGTGGGATATAAAGTTATTTTAGCCTCCGGCCTTCTCTCTAAGCATGGCATCATACCTGCCATGGATTGTACCTTAATGTCTCTCTTGTACCAGGTTTCTTGCTCCCGTTGGATTTTAAAAAACAACCATCTATAAACAACTTTCTGAGCATAATTTTTTAGGGTTTTGTAGTGATACGATTCACTCTTTTGCATGACACACAGAAAAAGTAATACAGAAATAAAGAATATGTCTGTACTATAAATAATAATGGTAGTCTTCCCACAAATAAGGCTCCTGTGGTCCTCAACTATTAATTATATAAAGAGCTAGAAGAAATGTGGTGTAGCTTCTATTGCTGAAAGTCAGTATAATAATAATGTTTTTGAAAAATTTAATCAGGTGATACAGCAATTAAATGACTAGGTTATATTTTCAGATAACTTAATGACAAAGGAACTGTCACTCTTTCATTCAGGATTTTCTAGGTGGCTTAGAACTGCTTAAAGAGAAGTTTACAGTCCAGTGGAAGGGGAGGTATCTTTCAATGTGCTTCACAGCTTTTGCTGTCAGTAATTAACTCTTTCCTTTTCATTTCTTTTAAAGCAGATGGAAATAGCAGAAATTGAATCTTGCATATTTAAAATAAATGTAGCTGCAATAGCAAATACATTAAATTTTCAAAAAGTGACACTTTAACCTTTTTTGCTTTTAAAGATCCAAGAAAGCACTCTTGGCCAAAATCTAGGGGAAGCTACTGCCATTTTGTACTGTACAAGGAGAATAAGGACACTATGGATGCCATTAATGTCCTATCCAAATTTTTAAGGTAAGGCTGTTGTTTCTGCCATCCTGGCTGGCGTGCAGCCCTCCCCGTCCATGTTTCTTGTTGCTGTAAATGTTATGCTTCAGAATTATATAAGATCAACACACGATTGCTATTATCAAATTTGTAGACAGTTTAAAATAAAAAGTTACTTTAGAACATCAAATTTAAAACTTAGACTTTTTGTGAGGCAGTGAGAATGGAACAAAACGAGCCTAAGAAATTTAAAAGACTACTCTACTACTTCTATGTAAAAAGTCCACAGTTGACATTGGCTGATCTGAGAAAGGCTTGGCAGCTGAAAGCCTCAAAGTACATAACCTGAATTAAAAGCCATTTTTTCCCCAATGTGTGAATATATGCAAGTATGTTATGACCCTGTTAGATATTGTTGTGATAATATGCTGATCGGTTCCTAAGCAGTTACAGTTGATAAACTGTTGTTCCATGTATTAGTTTCTCCATGGCAACACAGGCTTAGTTCCTTTCACCCCATCAAGTGCAGAAACAAAAAGATTTGCCAAGGCATGACACGAACACAGTGAATTGCAGAGGAAGAGCAGTTTTAAAATTGGGTCAGTTCAGTGATCTACTCATAGGGAAACTTCCCCACTTCTCCCCTTCTTTTCCCTTTGCCTTTCTTGTCCAAAAAAAAAAAATTTTTAATCTAGACAGTAACAAGTGAACTACTTAGTATTGGTATTGAGAACAGAATGGCAAGAGCATAGTTAGGTGGAAAACTGTATGTAATGGCAGTCCTGCTACCCCCTGGAGCCCTTAACTGGAATAACTGGAAATACTCTTAACACAGGCTGTAAGGTACAAAGTGAAAAGGAAAGAAAATTTTCCTCTCAGGGAAAGGACTGGATTAAATTTTAAATTAACTTCCTATATTCTCTCATAATGTGCAGGCATGATACTCAAACAGACATGTTTGAAGTTTAAGGAAGAAATGGACATGTGGGTTTTTTTTAGTGAAGTTGGTGGTGGCTGTGCATTTGTGGATTGAAGGAACGTGTATAAAGAAGTATTTCAAAGTTCATGTTTTGAAAGCACTTTTTATTTTGAAGTGGTAAAAGTGAATTGTCTACATATAATTAAACCAGAGAAGTTTCCTTGTGTTTCATGTACTCATGGATGAGATTAGAAAATATCACACACATGTCAAATTATAACCCAGTTCTGAGGAATGTAGGTATATTTTTGTATTTTTAATTTATAAGATTAATAATTCTAGGCAATTATGCTGAAAACTGTTTGATTTGTTGCTATTTTAATATAGATAATGTATATATATTACTGTTGCTTTTAAGAGTGAAGCCAAACATATTTTCCTACATGGGAACTAAGGATAAAAGGGCTATAACAGTTCAAGAAATTGCTGTTCTCAGGTAAGTAAAAGTACAGTCTGGAGTATTTGCACTTCTGCCGTGGTAGCTTGGCTATCTCACTAAATACCTTAAAGACTCAATGATACAAATGGCAGGTTCAGGTCCTGACCTTGTAAAGCACAGGTGTTAATGAAAATGCCACATTGCTTTTGTGTTCTGTGATTACTACTGATATTTTCAGTCAGTGGTGCTCTGAGTCATAGGCTGGTTACGTGTACTTGGCCCAGGCAGTGGGACAGATTGCCTACGTGCTCTTAGGCTGCTTGGATCTCATGCAACAGCAGAAAAACAGAATGGCATGGTGAAAATAATGTCCCGCTTCCTTCCTGGCTTTTGTTTCTCTCTTTCTACAACTGGAATCCTATTTTCTTTTTCACTGCACTCTCTGAACAGTGCCAGAAAAGGCTAACACTGCCTTTGCTCATCTGTGAGTCGTCAGAAGGAGCAAAAAAAGGATGAGGAATTTTTCCTGCCTTAGCCTACTCCCTTAAGTTAAGTTTTAAGAGAAAATAAAATTTACTTTGTCATATTCTAAGGTAATTATATGGTTTCTGAACACTTAGTGTTAGATCCTTAACTGAGAATGGCAGATGTCTCCCATGATATCATTTTAGCTGGCTGGAATATCCCACCTCCATTACTTTTTACAACTTTTTGAAAACCACACTCCTTGAGTGAGGAATTCACAGCTTGAAAGCCAGAGGTTTGACCAAATCCTTGTTAAAAGGAGGGCATCCACTGCTGAGCTGTTCATATTTTCTCCCAATGTTCTGTGTGTGTGTGTTAGCACACACAAAAGGAAATAGTGATATGTGAGTTGTGAGAAGCCCCAGATTGGTGTTGCTGCAAGGCAGCTTTGCAAAGTGATAACTGTTAACCAAATGTGTGGTGCAGTCATCTCAGGTGCTGTTCCATTTACTTTTTAACATTATCACTTTCAATGTGGTATTTAAGAGCTCCAGAGTGCTCTAAGTGTTGTGTGGTGTCTGCTCAGGTGCCACAGCCTCTGACTTTCCTGCACAGGAGGAGGGACATTGCCAGTTGCCAGCTTGCTGGAAGCTGAGTATGCTGGCCATGCTGGTTCATAAATTTCATTATCCTGGTAAAATTCAGCAGAAGTGTTCAAGAGCAGCTTGGTGATGCAAAGAACAGGGTATGCTTCCAAAAATACTAGCAACAAAAATGGCAGGTATCGGTGACAGATTGGATTCCATGTTCCTTCATCTGCACTAGGCAAGCACAGTAGCTAATTTTACTTAACTGTATCTATGACTGTGCTAACTGGGCTGTATTCATGAAGTAGTTACTCAAGTAATGCAGAGTTAAGCCTGTGGGGTACAGTATACATCAATAGTGTGATATACATTTTTGGAGTATGTGTTTTAACATAGATATGAAAAAACAGTGCTACCAGTCTATCTCAAGGGACATTTTCTTTTGTATGAGTGCCCTTAAGAATTATATTATCTTCCTTTAGCTGTTTTATTAAAGTATTTTGGAAAGGCAGTGGTAGAAAATTGGGGAAACTGGACTCACTGGTTTTTGTTTGTAATGACAGCATTTCTGTATTTACCTGCTTTTCTAAGCATAGGTTGGTCACTGTTGCCTGTTTCTTTTTAGAATCACTGCACAAAGACTTGCTCATTTGAATAAATGTCTGATGAACTTCAAATTAGGAAATTTCAGTTACAAGAACCATCCACTGAAATTGGGAGAACTGCAAGGGAACCATTTCACTGTTGTTCTCAGGTAGTATGTTAGTAGGTATTTAGATGGTTCTGTTAGAATTTTTTTTCCTTCAAATAGATAAGTGATACCAGTGCAACTGGTGATAGAAAAAGAAGGCTTGTTGGCAGGAGACTATTGAAATTGATGCGTGCTATTTAATATTGATGTTGAGCTTTAATATAATGGACATCTCAAAATAGCATAAATCCTTAATCTGTCTATAACTTTTTCTTTTTTCTTTTTTTTAATGCTAGAAACATAACAGGAACTGATGACCAGATAGAGCAAGCAATGCATTCACTCAGGGAAATTGGATTCATTAATTACTATGGAATGCAAAGATTTGGAACCACAGCTGTTCCTACTTATCAAATTGGCAGGTATGTGTTGCTTTCATCCTCCCCCCCTTCTTTTTTTTTTAAATTTTATTCTTATCACCATGTAACTTAATGTATTTTTGGGAACATTTTTCTAACATATTGCCTGCACCAGTTTTAAATTTAGATTCAAGATAGATCTTGTTTCTGAACTTGCTTCAGCAGTTATCTTGCATAATAGCACTACTTTTAATATTGCATAAGTCTAAACACTAATACTTATTTTTTTTATAAGTTGGCTAAATCCCTTTCAAATAGATTCAGTCAGTTCTTAATACACTTTCGTGTTTGAATCCTAGAGCTATTCTACAGAACAACTGGAATGAAGTAATGGATTTGATATTAAAACCACGACCAGGAGGTGAGAACTGAAAAATGATACATCATGTGTTTCTGCCTCTTCTCCAAGAACTGTATCTTTAGGAAAAACTTAAGCCAGTTTAGCAGTGGAGAAGCAATCTTCAGACTCTCCCTTTATGCCTCACTTTCCTTGCTGTGCAGTTTCTTGGAGGGGGGCTGAAAAGGGACCTGAGCACTTACAGTGTCTGCTCAAGCTCCATGTGAGGTCTTCCAACCTCAAGTGTTCTGTGATTCTCTAATTACCATGACTGAAAATTTAATTTTTCAACTGTTTTAACAAAAGATGAGATGGATGCTTTTTTTGGTGTATAGTTAAAATATTTTAATTTTACATCCTTGTTCTAGCTGAAAAGGGATACTTAGTCAAATGCAGAGAAGAATGGGCAAAGACTAAAGATCCAGCAGCAGCGCTCAAGAAACTACCTGTAAAAAGGTGCGTGGAAGGACAACTTCTACGTGGACTCTTAAAGTATGGAATGAAGAACATAATCTCTGCATTTGGCATAGTGAGTGTAAAAGCTGAGTGGTATTTACTTGAATAAACATTCTTTTGATGGTACCAGGATGGATTTAAAATAGACTCATGGATGCTTGATGAGTAGAAGGTTAAGTTTAAAAACCTTTGCATTTATCCTGCCTTTTTGCTGGAAGTACTGCTGTGTAGTAACTGATGACATCTCTAATTAATGTATGCATAATGAGCTTTCCAATTTATACAACAATCTCTCTGGTATGTGGGAAGCAGTACAGTTATACTTAGTAGCTACATATAATATGGATCTGAGAATTGTGCAGATGTTCAATTTCAGTGTTTTCCTGTTGCTTTAAAAGTATAAATCAAACTGATGGTGGGCTAATGAATCAGCCTGATACAGAGGTGATGGATCCACTTGTCATTTTCAAGTGCTGTAATCAAGCACAAGTCTTTGGAGAAAATACCTCATCACTAGTAAACTACTGGGCCCATTGTAGGATCTGGGGGGATAATTTCTTGTTTATGAAGAAGATAATTAGAGTAACACTGTGCTTTCACAGCTGCAAAGTTTACTTAAGATTTCAAGAGTTTGAATATGAATTCAGTGTTTTATAATAGACCCATATTTTTGACCTGTAGAATTAAAAAATTCTGGAGGGTTTTTTGGTAAACTTAAGCACAGTTCTTTTTTGTGCATATTTCAAATGTATAAAAGCATTATTTCTTCACATATCCTTTTCTCAAACAAGAAACAAAAATCAAATATGTATACCAAGAAATGGTGTCTTTTTGCTGGATAAGGTAACATTTCAAATATACACCTTTTTAGTTATGATTGTCAGAAAAAAACCAGAAAGTATATCTTTCCAGTGTTTAATTTTTTTTTCTTTACCTCTAGATACCAAGAAATAATCGTTTAATGTATATTCATAGCTACCAGAGTTACGTGTGGAATAATATGGTGAGCAAGAGAATAGAAGAATACGGGCTTAGAGCTGTGCCAGGAGATCTCATACTTAAAGGAGGTAAAATCAGACAAAGCCAGTGATGCTGTATAGTTCAGATTCCTAGGAAAACAAGGCATGTAGCTGTTTGTCTAATACTGCTTCAATAGTTCCTTTTCTCTCACCCATTTTGGCCCAGTGATATCTCAATCCATTGCCCTGTTCTAGACAAATTGTGCAAGGAATTGGAAGTTAGGTATTACACTTCCATGAGCTGTTTGTTGGCCTGTCTTTTCAAATAACTGGATAGGGAAGAGAGACTATGGAGGACTGATTATTCTCAAGAATGACCTCAAGCCTAGTTGAGCTATGAAGAACTGTGGAGAGATGTTATGAAGTTTTAACCGTAGAAATTTTTGATTGTATTAGTGTGTTGTAAAGCAGATGATCCACTCAGTTAAACTTTCTTCACTTGTATTTGCTCTGGCATTTCCTACAGTATTTCTCCTTTATGTAGACCTGCTACATGGAAGGGGGCTCTTCCTCTAGCAGTCCTTAGTTCATGTAGCTTTAAATCACTGGAAGCCAGGCTGTGATTCTGCCAGTAACTGTGACAGCCTTGGAGGCTGTTACTTCTTTTCTTGGAAATGTTGTCTGTTAAGTGGAGATAAAACATGGTAGTTATCTTTCTCAGAGTAAGCTTATTTCAATCAAAGGCTTCATTTTAAATTTAGCTGAACTGTCACAGGCATCCATACTGGTAACTTCATTTTTCTATCCTGACTGTAGCCACAGCAGTTCACATTGAAGAAGGAGATGTTGATAACTACACCATCCACGATGTAGTGATGCCATTGCCTGGATTTGATGTTATTTATCCAAAGCATAAAAGTAAGTCTGACTGTTAACTGAAATATTTACTCTGAAAATACAGGTCTGATTTAAGATTGTTCTTAAGGATTGGAGGATTGGAACTAGTCAACCTTCGTGACTTTTAAAGCAATACATCACTGCAGATCTCTAAAACATTAATGTCAGCCTTCTGTTGCTGCCAGGGTGCTCTGCTCAGTCTCCTTCCCACTGGGAATCCCAGATGACAGCAGAGCAGAGTTTCTCACTAACCTGTACCACTGCAAGGAGTTAATCAGGTACAGGATTTTGTCCTTGATGAATTTCATGAGGTTCCTCTTGGCCCATTCCTCTAGTGTGCCTCAGTCCCTCTGAATGGCAGTCCTGTCCTTGCATGTATTGAATGCCACCCCAGCTTGGCTTAGCCCACAGATTACTTGGGGTAAATTCAAGCTCTTCTCCACTATTTCACAGGACACATCTCAGTTCCTTGAGGAACTCTGCTTTTTAGGTAGAGCTGCAACCAGTAGTGTCTATACTTTGAGATGCTGAGCCAGACAGCTGTTACCCACTTACCAGTCCACCCACTGTAATGTTCTAACCTTGGACACAAAGATGCTGTGGGAATACATTGACAGCCTTGCTAAAGGCAAGGGCAGGCAACAGTCCCTGCTATCCCCTCACCCACAGGTGTAATAATTTCATCATAGAAAACAGTAAGGTTGGTGGGCTTTTTGCTTTTTCTTGTCCTTTTTCTCCCCTTTATCACAACCCATCATTGTGTACCCAAAGAGGATAATTATTTTTCCCAGGGACCAGAGGGAGTCTGACTGGTCTGTAATTCCCTAATTATCTTTCCTGCTCTTTCTGAAATTGGGTGCAACACTTGGTACTCTGCAGTTGCCTGGGACTTCCCTAGATCTGCACTATCTCTGAGATGATAGGGAAACCTTCACCATGATGTGAGCCAGCTCTCTCAGTCTGTATCTTCTCCCACTACTGGTAGCCCCTCTCTTTCTTAACTTTGCCTCTAAGAAGAGAGGCCTGGGACACTTTGCTGGTCAAGGCTCAGGCAAGAGAGGCACTGAGACCATCAGCCTTAGGTCTGTCACTAGACAGCTGCCCCATATAGCACTAGGCCATTGCTTTCCCTGTATTGTTTCATTCCTTATGTTGCAGCTGAACTCTTCTTGGTCTTGATGGCATTTGCTGCTTTCAACTGTAGCTGAGCTTTGGCTTTCCTAACACCATTTCTGTGTGCCTGGAAAATGCTGGTATAGTGCCTCTTTGTAGCTGGCCCTAGGTTTCACCTGCTCTGTGTTCTGATAGATGAGATTAGTCATGAGTTCCTTGCACGTTTTCCTCAGTATTGGATTGAACTGTTCTTATACTTGGTCATCAAATCGTCAACTGATTTATCTCTGCTGCTTTTTAATGAGAGAGTAATGGGTAGTCTGGCCCTTTAATTATTTTTTTCCATATACCTGAGATTAGTCCTCTGAAGTCTAGAAAATTGGAAAGCATATATGAGACGACATTTAAATGGCAGTAAAGTATTTTGTAAATTTTGTTTTCAGCTGAAATTTGATTTGATGTGTTCTTTGTTACTGCCTCTACTAATCAGGGTGTAGAAGTAAAGAGGAAAATAGAGGAAATAAGATTTGCAGTACTTTTAAACTTCTGTGTAGCATCCCATATATGCTGAAAATTTACTGAATGTAAGGGAAGGGAGCAATCCATGAATAAAGGCCATTTAAATTTGCCACAGTACATTCTCTCCTATTAAATATTTTCCTCTCTTGCAGTTGGTGAGGCCTACAAGGAGATGCTGGTAGCTGACAACCTTGATATCAACAACATGAGGCATAAAATCAGAGATTACTCACTTTCTGGAGCATACAGAAAGATTATCATTCGGCCTCAGAATGTCAATTGGTGAGTGGGAACATAAAGGAAATTACACTTGAATTGACACAGTTTATTTAAATATAAAACAACATGAGATTGATCCATGGGATCATCCACACAGACTGAAACAGGTAGAGAGGACTCTCTCTGCAATTCTCTCACATTTTTAATGCAGCTGAAGGGGAACTATACCCATATTTATTCCTTGGTTCTATGGTGGAAGAGTATCAAGACATGTATCTAATTGTTCACTCCTTGCAAGCGCTTGCCTGAACACTTCATAGATAATTACTTATGTTGAAACAATGATAGATAATATTCAAAATGGGGTTTTTTTTGCAGTCTTGCTGTGAGAAGGTTGGTCTCCAATTACCTATCAATTATAAAAATTTGTATCACTTAAACCTACTAAATCACTGTTAGAGATACAGCCTAATTTTCATATGGCAACTGAATAAATACTTTTTAAACAGGGAACTGTACAAATGTGCAGAAAGACATCACTGATGCATAGAGTAAAATGTAGAGGGCTTAGGAGGAAGCAGAAAAATACAAATATTTATGTACTTGAAACATCAGCACTAATTAATATTAAGCTTATCTACTTCCCAGTTAGGTTTTCAGCCTCATGGTTACATATGGGATTTCTGTTAAATGAACAGCAGAAACCGTACAATGTGTTTGAGCCCTTTCAAAGTTTGGGTGACTGTACTGAAAGGCTTTGCTCCTGCTAGGTACAGGAGCATTGACTGCTTAGCACTGACATCATTCTTCCCTTAATTTCATGAGCTATACTTGTATAGTTGGAAATTCTGACAGCACACAAGGGCAAACAGATGAGTTATGCAAAGAAACTTCTCACTAACTTAAAATTGTTTTTTAATAATCTTCATAAAGCCAAGTCTTCTATATAAAGCTTTACATGATATTTTGCCTAATTCAATTTCAGTTGTAAATGCCAAATTGCAATAAGAACAAAAATAGTATTATAATAAAAACATGGTTATATAAAATGTATTAACCTAAATAATTTAATAATAATAAATTTTATGTATATTTTAAAGGGAAGTTGTTGCATATGATGATCCTAAAATCCCATTATTTACTACGGATTTGGATAAACTGGAAGGAAAACCATTACCAGTTCTCCCTACGGGTAAGTCAGTTTTTCTGCTAGTTTGCTAAATGGAAGTTTGAGCTGGCTGTTGCTTTCAACTGCTACATATTGAAAACTCCTTTAAGGAAGAGCTTTCATTTAACTATTGTCTGTTAAGCAAGGGTAACAACGACCTCTAAAGCCAGGTATCTAAATAAGGACCCTAATTTCTCCAGGTGCAAGCCATTCCTCCAGTATCCATATTGACTGTTAGATTTTCTTACAGGCATCTGTAAAATCAAGTAAATGCTTAGCAGTAAATGTCTGCAACTAAGAAAGGTAGAATTAAGTCACAAATTGTCTGTATACTGAGCTTGTATTATTGATGCTGCACACAGACTCAAATGCTTAGCTCTGGTCACAAGGTGTTTTGATACTGCTTTCCAGAAAAGTGAAGACAGGCTGGGAATTCAGTCTGAAAGAACAGATGTTTGCTTTTAAAACTCTGAAACCACCACTTTGTGCTGAGAGAAAACGTTAGAAAATTGTTTCATTAAATTTTTCACTGTAGATTATAAACAGGAGTGTGATGGTGGTGGTTGTTTTGCTTTATGGACAGGCTAAGTTGGTTTTGGAAGCTGTTAGTCTAGTTTAGATGGCATCCAGAATAAGCATTATATATGCCCTTAATCATGTGTTCTTGCTTTCTGTCTCTTATATCTTCGGATAGATGGCAAATTCAGGGCACTCAAGATGGAGTTCTCCCTTCCCCCATCCACTTACGCTACCATGGCGATCCGAGAAGTTTTGAAAATGGACACAAGCATAAAAAACCAGACACAACTGAATACTACCTGGTTGCGCTGAATGAACTGCAAAATTACTTAATTTTAACAAAGTGTTTTCTTATTTACATGTTCTGTACAAATCTTTAAAGAGTCACAGTAAGAGATTTGTATTTTTTTAAGTTTTTTAGTGCTGGCATTTAACTTCAGTAGTCCTTTGCAAGATGGTAACTGTAATATAATACAGATTTTAGTGACTGGTGCTTTTTTCTGAATGAGTAGGTTGCTTGAGCTGTAACATGAGTGCATCTTTAGATTTGAGCTTATAATGGCATCAGACCTGGAAGAATGTTTAGCTTGCTTTCTCTGGGCAAGCACTGAATGTTTTCACGAGTTCAGCCCACCTTGAAAGTCTTTTCAAATACAATGAATTATATGGAGAAAGATGAATTACAATAAAATTAAGATACTGATGAACATAGGTATTGCTAAAGTTTTGCTGATAGCATTTGCACTGATGCAGTAGCAGATTCTGCTAGCAAGGCTTTTGTGAGCTGTAAAGCTGTACAGTTCTTTTAAATATTTCGACTTTTCATTGAGAAAATACCTGTATTTTCCAGCCAATACCTGTACCAAAGAACAGGTACTTAAAAATAAATTAATCTGAAATTCTGAGTGTGTATCAGTAAGTGCTTCCTTTACACCTGGCCCTTGCCCATTGTTGGTGAGGAATGAGCCAGCCTTCCTGTGGGGGAAAAAGAAATACAGTGGAGCTGTTCTAAAGAGTCCACCTGCTCTTTTCAGCCAAATGCAAAGCCTGTGTTTAGTCATGTCGCCGGCCACGGCGGCTGCGTGCGGAGGGGGCGGGGAGGCCGTGAGGGGAAAGGCCGTGGCCTTCGGAGCACGGGGCGGGACAGTCCCCGAGCCGGCGGGACG